AACGGAGATGGATATGGCGAGATCCAATCCAATCCAAGTTAAAGGCGGATAGGGCGAGATCCAATTTGAGATACAAATTGGAAATAAAACGAAGACGGATATGGCGAGATCCAATCCGGGATAGATATAAATCCAGGATATAAACTGGAAGACGGACCCAATCCGGGTTCAAACATAAGAATAATGCATACATGCGACATCAAGCCTGGTTCAAGGAAAGCGGGAGGACGCTTCCGTAATCCAAACTGAACTAAAATTCAAGAGGGCAGATTGAAGCGACACTAATCAAGTCATCATGATGACTTGAAACTCAGACAAAAAGTCGAGTTGGATATTATGAAACGACGGTATACGAATCCGGGTTAAAGTAAAATGAGGGAACAATTAGATACCTTCGTAAAAATGGATCCTTGTGTTTCTGATGCATCAACACAAATCTGAGATACAAGCGCAATTTGTCACGCTGACTCTGATCAAGTCGAAATGCTCCGTACTAAGGTCGAAAGACCCAGGTGGGACATGTGACAATACTGCCTTTATCTTGGATAGTATCGGGTTATGAAACCCAGGTCATGATTGAAGGCGACAATGATCACCTTCATCAATGCTGACTTAACAAAACGTTAAGTAAAAACAAACATGCGTCACAGAGAGTGACAAAAAGCGAAATCCGTATAATGCTTTGACCTCGGCCAGGTCAATATATCGGAACTCGTAAAATGCACGAGTTGCGAAAATAAGAATTTATTCAAGTTGTAAAAACAACCCGTCTCGAATGAGGGACAACTTGGGTAAAGTTTGATATTCTTAGAAAATATCCTAAGTTACAAACCTAGATAACAAGTATACAGGCTTGTTTATCAAAATCAACAGAATGCTAAGTCCTTAGAAGTATTTAACAAATACTTCAGGCAACTCTGGAATCTGATGAACCTCGAATACTTAGAAAAATATATCTAAGTTATCAGGGAGGCATAAAACTCAAGATGCGAGTATAAAGGCAAAATCATTCAACAGGAGTCTCACCCCGTTCTATCTGAACGTCACGGCAATGCAAGCCAGACTCAAAAAGATGAATGATTTTGATCAAATCAAAATCTGTGAAACACACAGTATGCACAGCCGGGTTGAAACAGAAGACGATATCACAACGAGATTCTGGCAAAGTCGAGCTCAAGTGAATAAAGCTACAGTATATAAAACTGGGCTAAATTTAACTCCGCAAACGAAACATGCAGAGAACCGGGAACAAAACCCCGCAACATCAGTGAAAAGGGATCTCAAATATCCCCAGATCAGCAAAAAGGCAAATTGCTAAGGCAAGTTAGTATTCCGACAAAAAAATGCTTGAATTAAAGTACTACAGCCCGACAACCTAGATTTCCGACTGTCGAACTGGGGGGCAAGTGCAAGAATGCAACCAAAATTAAAAGCAGCAATCCTTATACTTCAAGATTTTAGTAGGACAGTCAAAAAGACTGGTCAATTAGTCCGAGCTACGTACCTCGGTCAAAAGGGTTGAGTGAGGAATGTTGAATTAGTACACACGGCACCCGGCTCATGAAGCCCGACACCAAAGAAAGAACAAAAATAAATCCGAAACACGGATTGACAAGAATCTATGGATTCAGAACATGGATCAATGAATCAATAAAACTTTGGCAAAGAAGTCAACATAACAAGATAGCTGAAGCCATACAACAAAGGCTAACAAGGCTCGGACCATGAACATGGCCGACTTCCAGACACTGAGAATAAAATATTCGCAATGCGATAAAGAGTAATGTACAGCAACCCTGTATCCCGGACATCCAAACTGTTGGGCTGAGGGGCAACAACCCAGGATAAAAATTCAAGATAAAGAATGAAGACGGGTTTGGAGAGACAAGAACCTGGAAAAAAGCATCACGCCCCAACCCGCGATGAAATGAAGACGGATTCGGAGAGACGGGATCCTGGGAAAAAAGATCACGCCCCAATCCGCGACAAAATGAAGACGGGTTTGGAGAGATGCGATCCTAGAAAAAGAATCACACCCCAATCCGGGATAAAGACCCATAATAAAAATCTGGGGTAAAGAATGAAGACGGGTTTGGAGACATGAGATCCTAGAAAAAGGATCACACCCCAATCTGAAACGACAGAACAAGACGTAGTCAAAAAATGACACCTACGTCAAATATTATAAAGCCAAGGTATTGGAAACCTACGTCTAGCAACGTGCAAGAACCTGGATAAAAAAGGGTTAAAAATAAAAAGCACACTGCAGGACTGTGGCTTCTAGCCGAGGCATAGGAAAACGGAAGGACGCTTCCGAATCCTAAACGTTGTCAAAATAAACAACATGTGCACAAGCTGTGATAAATGAAATCAGGCTTGAAAAATAAGGGGCAGATTAGTACGACCTTGATCAAGTCACCATGACGCCTCAAATTTGAAAACCTAATTAAGAAAATTTGGTTAAAAGCAAAAAGCGAAATCCGCATAAAAAACCTTGGCTAGGTCATTTTGTTCAGTTAACGCTGAAAAGCTAAATCTGAATCAATAAAGCCACAGTGCAAGAAGTTGGACTCCAAGCGAAAGCCTCGGAAGGAACATCTACGAGCTCGATGTTGAAAGGAGGCAAACACTGCCTCACCAAAGCACAACATATTCAATACTCGGTTCACTAAAATTCCACCTCGGAATAACAGAGATAATATCTGCAATCGCTGACCCAATTAAATCGGCCAAGAAAAGTTCCAACCCAAAGAAAATTGTTTCAATAAAGATGCCAAGTCAAAGCAAGATTTCGACTGCTAACTTGAATAAAATATGCAAAGGAAATTCAAATGCAGAGATTACTGCTATTTCATCCCGGCAGCCTGGAAAACCAAACTACCGGGCTGGGGGAAAACTTTTAGCCGGGTTACATGGATAAGGCTTGGGGCAACTCGCCAATTGGATCCCAACAACTCAAGATTGTTCGTTCCCCGGTTACACATGTGTAGTATCTTGCCGGGTTCATGCATAACCCACCCACATAGTTGACAAGGGAAAATCATTCCCGGTTTCAGAAGAAAGCTACAAACTTAGGACGTGTGCATATGGAATGATGCTTGAAGGCAACTACTCGGTACGTGAAATGTTTTCCATGGTTTATGATCAACCCGCCGAGATAAGGGGCAATGAGGACCCCAGTTTAAAAGCCTGAGATGTAAGGAACATATATGCAAAAAGTTTACAAAAACTCAAACGCTCTCAGCTCAGCAGAAAACCTGAAGCAAAAGGCAAGACAATTCACCCCGGCAGCCTGGACAACCAAACTACCAGGCTGGGGTGCAACTGTTATGGACCTGACAAAGACATATATTCTAGAAGGCCCAAATAGGGCTAACAGCTAAGAGGGAATTAAGGAAATATTCCTTAATTATGCTAATCCTACTACGGAAGCAATGAATCAACAATTGGACCCCCGATGCTCCTGAGAGGCCTAAAAGTCCACTTCTGCCAGGTAACCCATCTATAAATAAGGGATTAAACCAATAAGGTACACACTCTCAAAACTCTCTCTCTTAGCTTATCATTGTGCACACACCTCACGCCTTGACTATGTCGTTATATTATTGTGCACAGTGATCCGCTTATCTTTAGGGTACCTCTCCTATAGGTACCTGAGGGAGGGCAAACAGATCCTATATTAATATACCAATCTATGATTGGACATATCGATCTATCAGATCGTAACACAACCATGTTGTATTAACATAAAAATTCCAGAATAGTAGGCATTGAATATGCTAGAGAATATTATTCTCTAACAGAATATTTCTCCCCTTATTGCATCGCCTGCCATGTGCTCAAAGTTGTAACGCTAAGGACCATAGTATACTACTGTCCTCTCCAAAAGAGCAATCCCTTATCCCTACCTAGAAGCATTTATCTTCAGGTACTTGATTTCCTAAACAAAACCTCAAAATGACAAAACATGGAAATTAAGATCAGAAAGCAAAACAGCAACACTGTACAACTTATGGTAGAACATGCCACGGGAAAACCTTTATGCAAAAATTAATCATCAGAATATTGCACAATTGCATTATATAAAAGATAAGTACTTTAGAAAAATACATAAATTGAGAACAAACTGAAGAATTATGGGGAAACAATCAAATGCTATACCTGCAAGCCCCACTGAGTATTCTATTTGCTCTAGTCTAAGGGAAGCCACTGGTTTCTGAGAAAAGAAGAACACCTCACCAGGGAAGTATAGAAGCCCATTTCCAGGGAAAGGGCATATCTGAATTTTATGTGTCCAAAAATGATTGTCCAGAAAATAAGAACTGCAGAATACAAGTTCAAACTGCTCCATTTTGTTTCCAAAATTTATACATCGTAAACAGGCTAGACAACTTAGATGAGTATTCTCTAACAAAATCACTTCCATCTAATGAGCAAATAACATTATATGCACCATCATTACTGTCATAATTAATTATTTTTTTCGTCTCCTTTGTGTCTTATCATTTTCTTTGATTTTAACAGTTTGATCGGTTGATATACACTAATTTAACTTTTGAACACTTCTTTTGGGACAATTTTCTTGAACCAATAGGATTTTTTTTTTAATAATTCTGACACTTTTATTGTAACTAAGGATACATTTAATTTCTTACACCAACAGTTCACAAACCACCAACACAACCGGGCATCGCATATTCTGGGTTCTGTTGCTTAAACAAGTTTTAATAGGAAAACTTTTCTGGCAATTAAACCACAGATTTAGCCATGCCAACCTCTGATATCCAAGGTTGTACAAACTCAGGAACAGCTTCAATGTTGTAAAATCCTATCTTAAACCAGTTCTTGGGGACGTTATATTTCTCTTACATGTGACATCTTTAACAAAAGCAGAACTTAAAAGGCAAAAGAGCTTATAAATCAAACACGTAGACAACAAATATATATATGGATAAGAAAAAGAAGAAAAAAAGAAGAAAAAAAGCTTGGAAGTTTCGCATTATAATTTATTTCCCTCTTGTATGCAACAACTTGAAAGCTAGAAGACTGCGAGACCAAATAGAAAAGTGATACTAAATGATCATATCATAAGATTAAAAACTAAGGAAATCTCAAACAAGTTAGAGAAAAGCTCATGCAATTAACTCTGCCACTTAACTGCGATCATTTACAACTTGATTTCCTACAAATAGACCATCTCTTCTTTTTGGGAAACCCGGAGGTTCCATGGTGGAGGCTCTAAATTTTAGCTCCGAAGTTGCTCGAAAATCTGGATCAACTGAAGTTGGCCTAGGATTGTGATCTCCAGAACCAAGTCTATAAGAACTTGTTGCCCCAGCAGGATACCTTGAAGGAGAGCCATACCTTCTTGGTGGACCTCTGAGAGCTCCACTTCTAAGATCCATAACTTCAGCATTTCTTGAAGAAGAGTCCACGAAAGATCTGTCTCCAGAGCCAGATGCCAATGGAGCACCAGCTGTAGCTGATGTAGAGCTAAAAGGATCATCTGGTCCCCAAGATGTAAGTGCTTCCTTCTTCTTGGCAAAAAAATGCCAAGCTACAAATAGAAAAAGTATGAAGAACAATACTGGGCTAGTCCATAGCATGGTGTTGAATTCCCCTTTAAAAATAGGTAGATTAGAATGATACATTCCAACATAGCCAGCTCCAAGGCCAACAATAACAAGCTTTTCGCGGTCACTAGCTATCAAGGGTATTACAGCTCTTGTTTCTGCATCTGAACTCAGGGTTGGATAATTCAAGAATGATGATCTTAGCTCATCAAGACTTGAGGAGAAAACAGGCCGAGGCACACCAACCCTCACATAATGCGGAGATGAAACATTATACACAAAAACCTTTTCAGGGTTAGCCATCAACAAGTACCCCTTAATTGCCTGCAAAGCCACAGGCTCATCCATATCAAACTTTTTCTTGTATCTAACCCTGCATTTGAAGTTCATTACATCTCCTATCAACAAAACATATATCAGATCCCCCTCCGAGGTAAACCCGTATGCCTTGGAACGCTCCGTGGCATCAAAAACATAAGTTCGAGCAACAGAATGGTTTAACCCTTCACATTCAGATTCTCTGATTTTCATCCCCCTCAAATCCAATGAGCCTGCACCAGTTTCTGTCAAAAACATAAGCCTTTGCTTCAAGAAAACTAGTGGTCTACTAGTTGGCATGGCAGAACCATACAATGAACCATTTTCCCTAAAAACCTTGATCTTCCCACTAGTATCAGCTGACAGAATGTACTTCATCCTACCTACAAAATGAACTTCTAACACAGTAACCGGCAACCCTTCCTCGGGTGACACAAACTTACCAATATTTTCCATGAAAAGAGAACTCCAATCTTCTCCACTCGATCCCTCCCAAACTCTATGTATCAAGATTTCCCCATTTTCATGACCAGTTACAACAAAACTCTCATTCTTGTAAGCCGAAGTATATGAAACCATTGCCCTAATGGGTGACCCCAATGAGGTATCATACTCAACCAAAACATCTCCATTCCTCAAGAACACATACACTCTTCCCCTCTCATCACTAACTGCTACATACTTACTTAGCCCCTCGTGGTCCCTAAAAGGCAAAACATTTATACAAGTGGCATCAGAATCCAACTTAACAGCAGATGCAAACTGAAAACTCTCTGACCAAAAAGGAGTGAACTTTGTTACAGACATTCCCTTAGCTCTCTCCCCATCTCGAATTTTCCCCTCAAATTTCCCATCTTCAACTCCTTTATTAGTTGATCTTCTATCATCATCATCACCCTTTATTTGAGTAAACCCACCCTTTTCCTGAGTCACCTTTGGAGGGTCCGGTAGCTTTGATTCTAACCTTGCAACAATATCACTAAGATTTCTCACTAACTCTTCCAGTTTATTCAACAAAACTTGTTGATTCAAATGATTTGTTGTTTCTGGTTCAGAAACAGCTTCCTTGCACGAACCTTGATCCAGCTTGGATTGTACTGAACATGATTCAGGGTCTGTTGGGGCACCAGAAACATGCAGAGAAGAGAAAAAGAACAGCAAAAAGAGTATAAAAAACTTGCCTTTTTGTGAAGACGCCATTGAGTTTGAAGAAGAAAAAATTGAGGGTTTTGCGTTCTATGTGTCGGAAGTTGTTGGATCTGGAAGGAGTGAATTTAGCAGAAATCTATGTAAGATTTGGGGAATCTGAGGAGGGAGTTCGGACAGTGTTATTGACTTGTGTTGAATTAGGGCAAAGTAAATTGATTAACAAACTGAACAGAAAAACAAGGTAACTCAGTTCAGTTCAACTGTAACAAAAGGATTTATGATCTGGTTAGATCGGTTTGCTTGGGCTATATCTCCATATCTAATAAATAATAATCCTTTGGACATTGACAAATGGAGGTCCTACATTCCTGTTCCTACAAAATTTCCTAATCCTACTTTTTCTTTAGGTAAGAATTTCTGATTTTCTTAATATAAATATCTATAGTCATAGTCATGGATTTTACTTTCCTTAATATAGACAAAAGGACCCACCCTACCTCCCCATTCAAGGAACCTAACTTTTTCCACTTTTTTTATTTATTGTATAAGTACCTAATGTTTATATTTTTACAGATTATTATATTTTGATTTAAGTTCAACCATTGGTTATAATCTTTGCACAATCATTCACAAATATTTGAATGTTGAACATGGAACAATTGTAATGCAAAAAATTAAGTATATAATAATTTCGTAGGCTTTATTAAAGAAATATTTTCTTCTGGAATATTATTATTATAAAATAAAAATAAAAATTCAACTTAATGCATGACACTTATTATATGAGATAAACAAGTATTATGTTGCATGAACAAAATTGTTATCATGCAACCACCGCCGACGAGATCAAGTTATTGAATAAAATGTTTTTTTTCACTTTCTCTGGCATTATTTAACTTCTCTGTATAAAAAAAAACTTACCTACATTTTAGCAAGAAGATTTTTTGTTTCATGTCGAATTGCTTATTTTATATATATATATATATATATATATATAGAAATATAAGAATCATGTTGCTCTAGTCATGTCACATGACAAAAAGCGAACCCATATATATATATAAATATAAGATTATGATCATTTTATACCAGTATAAGTTACATTTTCAATCTTGTCCGTTGCTCTCACTTATATCTAAGGGTTCAAATTTTTTAGTAATGTGAGGCATTGGATACAAGTGGATCAGTGGTCAAGATTGAGTGTAAGTTTTTCTAATTCATATAGAGGTAGGATCCTTTGACATCAGTGTCAAATTTGAAATTTGACACCTCATCAAAAAAAAATCAACGATTCTGATTTGTAAGCATGTGACACCATTGATCTTTTTTTATCTAATGACTCTCAGATGATATTTTTTGATCAGAGTCGTTGATATTTTTTGATCTAACGGCACTCATATGAGGTGTCAAATTTTAAATTTAACACCGGTCTCAAAGGATCCTACATCATATATATATATATACATATATATATATATATATATATATATATATATATAATGTAACATGATATAACAATTTTTACCTACTTACCCATTGGTTTCCGCACCAACATTTTTTATTTTTATTATATGTATGAGATCCACATGATTTTTGTTTGAGTAAGAAAAATACTTTAGATTATGTTACATGATAATAGGTTTACTCTAAATATATATATATATATATATATATATATATATATATATATATATTACCGTAACTTAGTCAATATACTAGACTCCGACACAAACCCACCCTTTAAACACTTGAGCTGTGTTAAGTTAGAAATATTTGGTGTTATTCCAAGTAGCTGTTACACCTTAATGTGACTACAGCTAAACAGTCTCACATTCAATAAAATCGAATTAGTTTTCATTTTTCAGTTATAACCAGAGTCTTTAAAGTGAAATAAAAGAATAGCAAAAGTCGTTCTTTCTTGAATCGACAGTGATAAAGAGGTTAACTATTAAGAATATGATCAAATTTTTCCATTATAAACATCACACTCTTCCCTTTCTCAATTGACTTCTTTGCTAACTTGAGTACCGTAAATATTGGCTCCATTTGCTGAACTTTGACATTCTGGACATCGTTATCTGCATGAAATAAAGACCTCTTTGATATGTCCAAAAGCGATGCACCTGACTTTGGAGATGCAGCGTTCAATGCGTTAAATTTGTTCTTGTGTTCATTTTTTCTACAGCAGTCGCATAAAGCAAACATATGCAGCAGAAATAAAAAATGGGACCCATTGGTTTAAAAAAAAAATTATCAGGATTTGACATCGTATTTTGGTACTGTTACATGTTGCAACATATTTATTTTTTTGCAACAACGTAAGAAGGATAAAACCCTTTGTTCTTTCAATTATTCACATGTGATATTGCAGAAACATCTACCACATATCCACAGCTCCTTGATAAAGACTAATGGGGTGTCGGGTGTGCAAGTAAAATAAAAATTCAATTCTTGAATTGAAACTGGTTTATGAACAAAATTAGTTTAAAAAACTATAAACCAAATTCGGTTTTTTTTCTTTCTTTTATTTTTTTATTTATGCTTTTTAATCTCTATTTTTCTTCTTTATTTATTTTGTTCCTTCTTTTATCTTATTTTTATTATTTTATTTCTTTAGTTCTTTATTTTTCTTTTTCTTTTCTTTTTTCTCTTATGTATTTTCTATGTTATGTTTACTTTATTTTATTTTAATTTTTTATTTTTTATTGTTCTTTTTTTTCAAATGTGTGGTATTAATTTTTATCTTTTTCCTTAATATTTTCATATTTTTCATTTAGGATCAGAATTGGTTCAAAAACTAGTTTTAAGGGTATGCAAAAGAACCACAAAATATATTACACTTCAAAAATATAATTTTTAAAACTAATTCTTTAACTGAACTGTTTTTTAAAAATTAATTCTTGAATTGAAAACCAGTTCAAGAAATGAACTAATTTTTTTCTCTTATTTTCATTTGTATTCCTTTTTTTCTCTCTATTTTTCTTCTCTCATTTATTCATTTACTGTCTCCTTTTTTTAATTTATTTATTTATCTATCTTTTTTCTTATGCATTTTTTTCTTATTTATTTTTATTATTATTATTTTTTTATTTTTTTTATTTTTTTCGGTAATTTTTCCCCTTCATTATGGTTTTGAATTGAACTGGTTATGAACCACTTCAAAACTAAACCGAACTAATATCCAATTTAGTTCTTAGAACTGAATTATTCTTTCTAATTCAGTTTGGTTCAGAAAAAAAAAATTTGAACCGAGCTAATCCATTCATGCACACTCCTAGTTTTGGGGCATGTTCTAGCATAAGTTGTTCATTGTTGCTGTTTTGTCATTTTGTGGCTTTGTTTAGGAAATCAACTACTTGAAAATAAATGATTCTAGGTAGGGATGAAGGGAACAGTAGTGTAGTATGTTCCTTAGCGTTACAACTTTGAGGACACGCCAGTCGATGAAATAAGGGGAGAAATATTCAATGCTTGCCATGTTATAAGGGATTTCACGAAGGCTCAACTCTTAATAGGTGAGATCCTTAGGTTGTGTTTGGTTGGGGAGAAGGAAAAATTTTCCTGGCTAAGTGATGGTGAGAATGTGAGTTATCAACGTTTGGTTGGGGATTTTTGTTAAAGTTTGCCATCAATCCCACTTGCCCTGCAATGCAAGAGGAAGTGTAAAAATCAGATTTTAGCACTGTTGGAGATTACCTTTCAACGGGTGGAATTGTGTGAGGAAATCTGATATCTGAAAAAGATGGATAATGGGGTGACAAATATACCCCTCCTCCATTTTATTGTGGTTCGTATTTTGTAATAAAACAACAGGTTTTTTAAATAAAGATAGTTTTGTAATTTCAAACAATTTTCCCATCAAAATTCTATATTCAACCAAACATACACTCAGAAAATTTAACCCAATTTTTCCAGTAAACTTTTGCCGAACCAAACAGCTTTTTTTACATTTTTCTACTAAACTCACTTTCCAACCATTTTCTTATCAATTACATTTTCCTAGTATTCAAAAATTTTCTCCCCAACCAAACACTACCTTACAGGGAGAACCCCCAACCAATTGAATTTTATTTCATGTGTGAAACCCCACTTGTCAATGGCATAATAGACTAATCCATGAAGATAATTTTTCCTACACGGACCGTCCTATTTATCCCATCATGTAATCTTCTGTTTTGTTTGGGCTATGGCCCTCTTTAACTAATTAAAAAAAACATAACTTCATCTAGTAGTTCGAACTTGCCTACTTTTGATTGTGTTTATTGCGGAGCCACATAGTAGCTTGTGATGATTTCGTAAATTTTAATAAATTATACTTATTATATATAATTATATAATTTATTATAATTTTGTTCGGGTTAAAATTATAATTTGGATCAGGCTAAAATTTGTATTTGACCCTATCTAAAAATTAAAATATATTTGGTAAGAGATTTGAGTAAGTTGTATTAGGTGATGTGTTCAATTCTCACTTGTATAAAAAAAATTAAAAAATATTTAATAAAATTATAATTTTTCTTAGTGCTTTGTATTTAACATAATTTAAATATATTATAATATAAATTAATTAAAATTAAAAAAAAATACACATATAACTTTTGATCCGGGTTCAAATTGAAGCCCGCCCACTGATTTATTGTTTTGTCCAATGAGTGGCATATCCAAGAAGGCTGTAGTGTAAAGTAATCACAGCAACATTAGTAATCTCACAATCTAGCAGCATAATTGACACACATTGCATAGGTTTTGTTAACTGCATAATTTGGTGAATCATGAGATCTTACAAGGCCCAATATTTAGTTTATTTATAAGACTGAAAACTTCACTGCAACTTTCACCCTCAGCTGGTGAGAGGTGACAACAATGCCGCTTGCTCCACCTACCTGTTCATAGCGATGTTGCAACAGAACATAGCCAAAATTAGCTCATATTTAATTACATCATGAATACTTCGATGATTGCAAAGATATAATTATAAAAGTCACCATGACAAGGTCAAAAATCCCAGAGGAATACACAGTGATACTTAACTTCCCTAGTCATTTACAAAAGGATGCTCAGAATTCACGGCTTTATCAAACAGGGAAATATGTTCAATACTACGTGAATATTGAAGGCTCAATACATCCTTTATTAAATTTGAAAAAAAAATATAATTATTTTTTTATCCACACTTTTATGATTATTCTCACATAAATCTATTTTTTCTTATTTTTAATAAAGAAATTCATACTCCTATAATATCATAAATTCGTTCATCAAAAAGGCACTGTGCTTAGTCCATTGTGAATTTGCGATAACCGTAACTTTCAAATTCGTGACACCTTTTGTAAAACATGCCCTCTTGACCATTTTGCATTTTCCATATCTGAAAACTGCTTTCATTTTTTTGATTTTTCATCGTGCCAATATTCTAGACATTGTTTTAGACAAACCAAATTCTTTATTATTCGGACCATCATGCAGTGGCCAGCAATTTTATGCTTAGATTCAATCCTATCACTTATTAGTAGCTTCAAAAAAATGCTTTTGGATTGTGTCCTGGCATGTTCGAGACAATAAAATTAATAAACATCGTACACTGAAGTGTTATTAACTCTTACCTAAGAATTTAATTTTTTACTGGGTCAAAATATAGAAAATAAAGAATAAAATCTATAACCATGGGTTGAGTTTAGGGAATATAATCCATGTTACCAGCAACAAAATCAATAACCCAACAATACAATCCAGACATGCTACTAGATTTATTTATTTATTTTCCAAAAATGCTAAGGTATAATTTGAAAATGCAAAATAAACTCAACCAAATTTGTTCTAAGCATAGAACTTACAATGAAATCAGACAGCTCCAAAGAGAACAATATAATCCTTCCAATCATTCTAATTGGGCATAGAGAAAAGATGGGTAAAAAAGAAAAGGAATATAGAATATAGAATAACTTTGTAAGAATAGAAGTGCCCAATTTATATGCAAGCAATTACAGGTTTTTGCAATGTAGGGGGAAAATTATCAAAAATCAAGTTGAAAGCCGTAGGTGGACAATATCAAAGCCACAGAGTTGCTCATGACAACATGATCAAATCACTTTCAAGTATATAATATTGAAAAGATAAAGTATGCCCCATAGTGTCCGCAAAAGCCATCAAAACTTGATAGTAAACCTATCGAGCAATTGAGACAAGATATAGGAAGCAAACTACATCTCAAAATTCCATGTGGTCTCAGCACTAAGTTTGGGAAGTTTCATTTCCTCAGCCAAGTTAACGGATGCTACAACCTGGAAGACAAAGCTCAAAGTTAGATGTTCAGCGTGAAAAAAATAGATGTCCCTCACGAACAATTTAAGACATTGGGGAGAGGGGGGAGAAGTTAACCATTAAACCAAAGTTCAATTTAAGAAATATGACAGAATCCTCAAAAGTCAAACCTCCACTGATCGAGTTAATAGAAGAACAGACAAGGCATCTATAAGTTGCATTATAAACAGTTCTAACTCCTATAAAAGACAGAAAATAAACAAAGACCACAGTACTGATCAGTAACTTATTATAACTCAATCAAGACTGCCAAGGAAGTATTGGCTACTTCATAGTATGGCCAGAAGAGAAGGAAGAAAGATATCAGTACCCATTTCAATCCTTCTTTTACAAATTCTATTCCTTTGAGGAATAACAATGTATCTTATAAGCTTACAAGAATATTTCGATACAGCCTTCACTTGTACGTGCTTTTATTGTTGCCACCAAAGAAAGGTGAAATCATTTTCCAAATCCTTCACCTTGTCCCATCTTCAGGCATCAATTTGTGCCTCCTCCCACATAACCAACTTCACAAAAACTACTAGCATTACTTTTGCAAATAGAATTCCCTTCCCAAGATGAAGGGCTACATCCTAGCTCTGAATGGTCTCAAAAAAAAGTTTCTATAAAGACGGTAAATTTTCAGTCAACTCAGAATCCTTCTTTCTGAGCCCTTGAAGCTTCTGCTATAAAGAATTAATCAATCATGAATCTTCTAGTAAACTCACATATGACCCCCAATCTTCAATAAAGCCATCAATCTTCTAAGCAAAAGGGTTGAAATAGGTACTGATATCAGTCTTCATGATTGATTGATTGGAGGTCATATGTGAGTTTACTAAAAGATTCATGATTGATTGATTCTTTATAGCAATGCATTAAAGATCGAAGAACTAGTTCAAGACTTAAAAACTAGTAACATCGATCTGGAAACTTTGTTATAGCAATGCATTAACCAAGACTCATTCCATGAATCCCCAAATTTTCAACCTCATGCATGAAAAGCCTAAAATATAACACACCAACTCGCAAAATTTATCATCACAGATCAATTCAAGCTACAAAAAAAGATGGATAATCACATCTACAAACTCTTCCAGACAGGTTAAAATCAAAATTATTACAAAAATCACATACTAATCTGCCATTAACATTCCAAAACAATTAAGACATACCAACAGAGAGAAGAGAGATATTAATATTCACCTTGAAGCAACCGGTCTGCTTGGAATTCCGGGACCACTCAAACCCCAAAACCTTGCTGGATGTCTGGTAAGAGGCCTTGAACGAGTCATCACCATAAACTCTCCTAGAAACAGCAAAATCCCACGAATTCTTAGCAACATCATAGGATGGCTCGAACGTGGTCAACCCCTTATGAACATAACTATACTTCAACTTGCAATTTCCCGAATCAAACGCGTAGTTAGCAGAAACCTTATTAGCAGTATCCAACACCAACGTTCCATCCAAAATGGTCCTGTTATCGCCCCTGCTGTGCATGTAAGTGAAATTCAACGGCTTCTCCGCAACCCTAACAGTGTTCATGAACTGAAACCGAAAGTCCTGCACAGAAAAAACCGAACCGGGAAATAGTACCGAGTAACAGACCTAACAAACCGAACCGGGGAAATTTTAGGGAGTGTACCTTTTTGGGAACGTTGTAATCGAGTATAAAAGAACCGGGTTTCTCGACGGCGAGAGCCAAACCGGTTAAGCTGGGACCGTTGATGAAAGTGGCGTCTGTTATGGAAGCTCTCAGCTTGACGTCGCCGGCGTTGACGGCCATGGTGGCGGCGGCACCGCCGTTATTGTCAATGTCGTACTTGCCCTTAAACGCTGCCTTCATTGTTTACAACGGAGAGTACGACAGTAGGATGTGTTTTTTGTGAAAGGTCGGTCTTCAAATGCGAAATGAAAAAATAATAATACACTCTTTTCTTCTTGTCACTGCTCGGCGGGGTCTAGTGAAGTGTACTGTTTCTGCTTTCTAACGTATCTGGGCCTGGATGCTTTAGCAATTGGCCCGTTCAGAGTGTCACAAAAGGAATTGTTTTATCTCCGCATTTATTTTATTTTTTATTTTTAATACAAAAAAATATATTTATTCTTTTAAAGGATAATTATTTTAGTTAAAATTATTATTATTTATTGAATGTTTAAATTAAAAAAATTTCATTTTCTTTCATCATAATTTCTATTTTATAATTATTTCTTTTATCATAAAATACTGTAATTTTGGAATAAATCCTTGGTGCAACAGTAGCACCAAAGATTTATTCGTAATTTTGATTAAAATAACATGTTTTATGTCTTTTAAAAGAAAAAAATATTAATCCTTTAAAGATATTACCATTGTTTTGGAGTGTAAGATAATTATGTTCAGGTGTAAAGTGATGGGATTAAGCCTTACGCACAAATGGCATTTCCAAAGACTCAAATCTTTGTTTTCCTTTACGAGATATTTGGTAGGGGAATTTTTTGAGATTTTTCGGAAAGTGATAGTGGTAATCCTATTTATTCAAGTTTAGTATAAGGTTTTTGAAAAAAAAAAATCCGAGAATCTGATTTTCCTAGAATTTTGTTTTGTGTACAAATTTTTTCCAAAATGCTATCCAAGAATACTACCAAAGCGTGGTATTCTTGGAATCCCAAGTGTTAAAAAAATGTACACTTTTTTTGAAACAAAATCGCGGTAATATTTTAGTCTATTATATTCCTGAAAATCATGATTCTCGGGCAAAAAAAATTTATCCTCTACGAAACGCCCTTTTAAAAACATAATTAGCTTACTATTATATCCAGTTCCTTATAAGTTTCACTGAAAGATTGCAGCCTAGCATTATTGTCATCGTAAAGCCCAAACGAAGTTGCGGGACACCTATACACTTGAAGGACTATTATGTTGGCCTAATTTAAAAACTTGGCTTCATATCTTTATGTTACTTTGCAGAAACGGTTTAGTGAGTGTCTTTTTAAAAGATACAAGTTATGTCCTATTAGTAATTTTAACTATTCATTCTCGAAAATGCATAGCTATAATATTAAAGTTGTACTTTTTTTCTATCTTCAGAAGTTGTTTGCTGACGTGAAAAATGAAAAAAAAATACAACTTTAATATTATAACTATGCATTCTCGGGAATGCATAGTTAAAAATTGCTAAAAGAACATAAGTTTGTGTCCTTTAACAGGACACTCCCTTTTTCCCTTGCAATAATTACTTGTAGTTATGGAATGGTTTCCCTGTAAATGATTATGTTATTTAAATAGAAAAAGGAATACACAAGAGAGTAAGAAGAAAATTACTAAGCACATTCTCTCCCATTTTCTCTACTCTCTTTTATCTTTCTTCTTGTCCTCTACATTCTATTTAATTTTCTAAAATTTCTCCCTTAGTGCTCTTGTTCCTAACTTCCTCTATGGTTGAAAATATAATAACCCTAACCTGAGATTTATAAATTATGGACTGATTAAGGATATAAAAATGAATAAATATGAATTATGCCGGAATTACATGAGGTAACTAGGATAAAATGTCAAGTAAGGATTATGAAAGAAAACACAAATTTAGAATTCCTAAGTGTTGGCTTGAGAGGAAGTGGGAAAGATATGTGAAAAATATGGTCAGTTGCTGAACCCTGACTTGCTCGCTGAAGCGACTAGCGAGCAGAAGGCTTGCTCGCGGGTTCTAGCGAGCAACCCAGCGAGCAGACGCGTGAAATGTAAAAATTACATAAGTGACTTTCTCTCTCCTTACGACTCTCCATCTCTTATCTTTCCCGAAAAATACCATTGAAGAGGGGATATTGAGCTTGAAAAATGGCATTTTCACATGAGTCCATGAAACCAAAGTGTGTAAACTATAAAGTTGTTTACATTTCCATCCTCATTAAAGCCCATTAATCATTCCCTTGTGAGGAGCATTAAGTTGAGAGATCTTTACCTTCCAAGACAAGAGAGATTTTTGGATTTGAGGGTGTTGGAGCTTGGGAATGCTTGGGAAACTCCTCTTTCTTTATCCTAAAGTTGATTGTGGTAAGATTTCTCTACTCATTACATATTTCCAATGATTTTGGACAAATTTAGGGTTTTATGAATAATGCCGACGAAATTTAATGACATGGGTAATTAGAGGATGAATTTGGTATGGATTCTCTTGACTAATACGTTTAGAATTGTCTCTTGTTGAAGGAAAACCAAAGAAATGAGTGGTTGGACTACTTTGATAAAACGACAGTAAATGTGGTTTGAGATGATGATGTTGGGGTATGAATTGGACATAAGTTATGTTGGAAAAAATGCTTAGGAGATGAAACAATCGGTGAAAAAGTGATTAAACAACCATTTTGGTCATCTTTGTTAAATGACCGAAAATGTGGCATAAATAAGTGTTGAAATTTAAGTATTGGTGAGACTTGTAATGTCAAGTTAATTGTAGATTGTTGGTTGTGTAGCTTGAACACAAGTGATTGCTTATTAGAAGAACAAACATTGGCCCAAGTGTTGTGGAGACATTTGGCTCTTGAGAAATCAAGTGTTCAGTAAGTCTTTGAACATGTGTTCATGTATATTGTTGCTGGTAAAATAGTCATTATGTTAATCGTTTTGGTTAAGTACATTGCATTGATTGGGATTGTGACCTTTGTATAGGTGACTGTGTGGTATAAATTGTGGTTGATTGGCTTGCTTGTGCGACAAGAAAGCAAGGCAAGAAGGAAGTCTACTTTAAGGTAAACTTATGGATCTTGGGGTTAATCTCCTTGTATGTTTCACCATATTTCATGGGGAGGAATGGTTGGATGATGTGATGTATGATAGTGATTGCTAATAGTATAATCATGCATTAATTGCATATGATATGTATATTATGGTGTGCTATGTATATATGATTCTCTGGCTAGTAGAAATGAATGTTTGGTTGGGGCTTCCCTTGGAAATAGTCCCTTGAGGAGGTATCTTGGTAATTACAGTGGATATCGTGATGAATGTTATACTATTCTGTTGATATTATATATGCACATTAAGTGAACGTATAGGTGGAGTAATCTCCGAGGACTCTTGGTTTACTGAGTTGTTATCTCACCCCGTGTGGGGAATATATTATATATACTACTGACGGTACTGAAGCATATCGGGGCAAAAGGCCCGAGTAGGCTTGTGGAGGCTCTCATTTTGTATATGCATTATGTAGATTATTTGTATAGGATTTACATGCATGATGCATAATTGTGTATTTTGGTGTAGCCTTTGGTATTTCGAGATAAATGTATCTAATGTAGTAACTTATAATATGACCATTGTTTTGTGGTAGCATTTCCTATGTATCCTTATGAGGAGGACTTTGATCATATTTATGTATTTAAGTTCCAAGGCATGTAAAGATTATAAGATGTAATGACATTTGATATGTCAATGGCAATAATGTATTATTCATGTTGAAGGAATGGGTATATGTGTAATTGGACTCTATGTGTAATGAGTGGAAAAGGATGTATTATTGTATTTACGTATGTAAGAGAGAATTGGAATGATAAAGTATGTACCAAGCATGTGAAGGGATAACTTAGAGTATAAGTTATGGTTAATGATATGGATTGTAATCCAGGTATTGTATTAAGTCACAGTTTGAGGTACAAGAAAATGGATAATTGATGTATTTGAAATGATGTAAGTGCACATATGTTTGTTGGGGATATGATTATCATTCTATGTTCAATTAGGTATCCAAATAGTGAACAAATGTCCCTAAGGATTGGTCCAAGAAATCAATGGGACTGTGAACACCCAATTTTATCCCAAATATTAAAAATGACAAAAAAATCTAAATTGTGAACCTTTATTTTCTTAAAATAAAAGAAAAAAAAATTTAAAAAAAAGAAATTAAATGAGAAAATATTTCTTTTTATAATTTGTAATTAGCTGTTATTAAAAAAGAAACAAAAAAGAAACAAAAAAACAAAAGAGTGATCGAAGTGTAGCATGATGAAAATGACCTTTGCTCCCCACTGTCAAAGCCATGCACTGGTGGATGCAGGTGCTGCAACACCAAAACAAAAGTGTTTAAAGTTGGCAAACAAAATTATGCCAAAGAGAGGCCAACATTTGAAAGCTAAATAAAGGACCCTCAACAAAAAAACACCAAAGTAGTGAAACCATGGCAGCCTCTGTATAAAGGAAGAGAAGCATGCTTGAAGCAGGTTGACCACCAATAAAAAGAAGGAGCCTAACTGCAGGGTGGCACAGACAGAAAGGGGGAGAGGGGGTTCTGAGGAGATAAAAAAGAGAGCTCTACTTCTAAGAAAGGGAGTTAGTCGTGAGGGGGGGTGAGAGAATAAAAAAAGAGATAGCAGAGAAAAATAAGAAGCGAGAGGTGATGGTTTTGCTGAGCTCCGCTTAACACCCATCCCTACAAGCAAGAAGTGGGAATGCCTTCCCATTCACCTTAAAAAGTTCAACCACCATCACCCAAAACCCAGAGGATTTGTCTTTGTACAGCAACCTCTATTTGATCGCTGGAGTAAAGTGCTGGGGACGCAAAAAAAAAAAGGAGAGAGAAAAGAATCAGAGTTTGAAGCTAAGGAGGTGGAGGCGCCGAGAGAAAAGAAGCACGAGACTCAACAGGCAAAGAAAAAAAAGGGTATTAGTTCTCGGCTAAGGAAATTTTGTGGGAAACAAAGAATATCAAGGGTGAAGATTCTCATATTCCAGAAACTCTCAAAGGTACTATTTCTGGGGGCTGATTTCCTACGGTGGATGTAGAATAATGGGCTGAATCGTTATAACTATCAGTTATTTGCCTAAGTCCTCGATATATATACGCAGGTTCTAATAATTAATTATTTATTTTCATAGCTATTATTGTATCTTGTTTGTTGGCATCAGTAGGAAAAATTCAAGTGATTTGTTATGGACCCCATCGAGTTATGCTA